TGGCCGCTCACACTCTTCCTCCCATCAGGCTAGAGCATTAGAGCTGGGGGCACTTTAGGGATCACCTTGTCCCCGCTCTCACTGGACAACTCAGCTTGCGCCGTTTTATTCCATCCCCCTAATTCCTTTGCCCCGTTCACTCCCGTTGAGAAGCCTGCCTTCTCCCATTTACTGCTCTGTATCCCCATATTTTAGAAGACTCTCCTCACCTAAATGAGATTTGAAGGTTGGCGTAGAGCAATGATTCTCAACCAGAATCAACCTCCAGGTGACATTTGGCCATGGCCGAAGTCATTTTGGGTTGTCACAATCAGGGGCGGGAGTGCTACTGGCTAAACATCCTGTAACGCACAGGACAGTTCCCACAACAAAGAATGATCTGGCCTAAAGTGCCACTAGTGGCGTGGTTGAGAAGTTGTGGTGCTAAGTTGGAGAGGCTTACAGTTACAATCAAGACTCTTGGGTTATTTTCTCAGCTCAGCCACTTGCCCCCTATGTAACCTTAGCAAAAAAAGAGCCGGGCAAATGCTCTTAACTTGAATTTATAAATTGAGGGCAAAACAATAGTTGACCTGCCTGCTTCAGGATTGTTGTTTAAGGACCCACAATACCCTGTGTGCGTGCACAGCACGGAAAACCATTGCCCCGAATGATCAGGCAGCCGGAAAGACCGGATTCCAGCCTCGGTGTTATCCATTGAGAGGATTTTTGTAAAAAAGCGTTCATCCCTCCGCCCCCGCCCCCCTGCCCACCAAATGGCAATAAACTTCTCTGATGTTCTTTACAGGTAAAATTTCAGAGGTGCTGGGTGTCGGCACGGTCGGCCCACTGACGAAGCTGGTTCTCGTGAATGCCATCTATTTCAAAGGGAAGTGGAATGAGCAGTTTGACAGGAAGCGCACGAGAGGAATGCCCTTTAAAACCAGCCAGGTAGGGAAACAGTTTTCAGATGTACTGCCACTTTAAGTGGTATGCTGGGAAAGACAGTGACTGGAAGAAATAAGCAATTTATTTCACACTCTTGTGATTGTTTATTTCTGAATGTATTTTGTGCCCCCTGTATACCTTCTATTTGGAGAGGGAGGAGAAGAACTAAAATAATCTTTATATTAATAGTTTCNTTGACCTCTTTGTGTCTCAGTTTCTTTGGCAGGCTTGTGAAAATGTCCCAGAATGTTGCCATATGCACATCATTTTGCCACAAATGTCAGGGGGTGCGGACGCACTGGCTGTGGTTTTCTCTTCCAGCTCCCCAGAGGGCTGAGGCTTTGGACTGGGATTGTTGGGTGTTATAGGGACAACATGAATTCTCTCTCTGACTTAACATTTAAATCACAGTCTGGCCTGGAGGACTGTGAAAGTGCTGATGGAACATTTTCGTATGTTTTTCTGCTCCTTTTTGGAATTCGTGTGTCAGATCCATCCCAGCTTCCTGTTTGTTCTGTTTGTGTAGTTCCTCTCCTGAGTTTTCACACTCTGCCTTGCTGGCCTGGATACATCTGCTAGGGCGTGATTCACACCCGAGGGTGATTTTACCTTCCAGGGGACGTTTGGCAATGGCCGGGAAGTTTTGGTCGTCATACCTGAGAGGTGCTGCTGACACCTAGTGGGTAGAGGCCAGAAATGCTGCAAAATATCCTACAACACACAGGCCGGCCCCCACAACACAGTACATACCTGGCTCAAAATGTCAACAGTGCCAAGGCTGAGAAACCCTGCACTGGACAGTGAAACCAAACACCTTTTAAGATAAAATCCTCTGTGATTTTCGGCACAGAGATTTGTTTGAAGGTAGTTTTTTGAGGGAGCAACATGGCAATGTTAAAGTCTGCGTCCTTGTTTTGTGTTACCAGGCCCTTTGTTTGAACAAAGGTGAAGACGTGCACCAAGGTTTCCAGTCACTTCTCACAGAAGTTAACAAATCTGACGCTCAGTACTTGCTCCGAGCTGCCAACAGGCTCTTTGGAGAAAAGACGTGTGATTTTCTCCCGGTAAGTAGTAATCACACACTGATGAAACAGACATTGAAAATAAAATAGAAGCTACAGGGGATCAGAGATAAAGTATAACTCTGCTGTTTTAAAAGTGTGCTTAGAATTACACCTCTATAATGATAATTTTGAATTTCATGATTGCTTCTGAATTATGTCCTTGTTTATTGTTCCTGATACATCCCGCCGGGACGTCAGTCTCAATATGTCCATCCTCCTGCACCCACACCTGTGAGATGTACACATCTCACAGGTGTACAAAGCTCTCCCCCTCGACCCACTGTGACCTCTGGTTGTTGGGCTGTTCCTGCAGAGCCGCCCTCCCAAAGTCTCTTAAATTTGTCCCCTCTTCTGAATCACCACCGCCATTGCCTGGGTCCAGACACTCACTACCTTCTACACCATTATTTTAACCGTTTCCCAGCTGATCTCTCCAAGTCCAGCCAGGTCCTTCCCTTTGTCTCGTAAGCACACTACTGATAGAATAGTCTTCCTATAATTAAAATCAGTTCATAAAACTGAGATTTTAAATCTGAGTAGATCCTATGTATTGGCAGCATGGAAGTCCCAAGTTCCCTAGTCCAGTGAAAGCCTGCCACAATTCAGTAAGTGAGGTCCAAACAATTAAAATATGCCGGGTAGAGCTATCTCTGAGATGAATGAAATGATCAGGGCACCCCGGTCACCTTACTGGCTGGAAGTTCTCAGGGTTCTTCTGTAAGACTCAGATACATCCCTGTGCTGGGTGCTGTTGG